AACATGATAAGTGTCATGATAAAAGAACAAAGAAATGATAAATGTCTGAAGTGATAAAGGAGTCAGTTTCCCTGATCTAATCATACACATTATACATGTGTGCTGAAATGTCACACTACACCCCATAAACACTAACATTCCTATATGTCAATTAAAAATAAAAATATTCTTTTAAATGGTAAAAATAAATGTCTCCCACATTATGCCCAGGAGGTGAGTCCAGTGTCCACCCTGGAACAGCAAAGCCCCAACAAGCCAGGTATCACTCTCGTTGCTCCTCGTAGCATCTTCCTCCATCAAGCTTGTAGTTTAGAGACAGTATGAGCTTGCACATTTTACAGGTGAGAAAGTTGTGACCCAGCAAGGTTGGTGGATTAGTTAAGATCACTCAACCCCATGGTTCAGCCAAATTTCTTAGCCCACCATGACCAATTATTTTCAGTCATGTAACTATTCACCCAGTTTTTGTATTTAGTTTTATTCCTTGAAGTTAATCGTTACCAAGTTTCCTTTTATTTCCCTATTTCCCTATTTTCTGGTTCTTTTTCAGATCTTTGCTCATGTCATACATAACTAGTTTATCAGCATCCCCAGTGCCCAGCGCTGTCAGACACATCTTTAGAGGGGTACTTACTGGTCGAGGTCAGGAAAATTTTGGTCCTCTTTGGTATAATTAATATCAGCTAAGCTCTTAAATCAGAATTATTTGCCAGCTCTTTGGGATGAGCTATCTGTTCCTCTCCCAAAACCATTAAGGAGACAGAAGAGGTAAGAAGTGTCAGCTCTGGTGATTCCATGGTTCTACCGCAGAGCAGCCTGACTCACTAACTAGAACTTTTTCATCCAGTTTACTTTCTAATTGAGTACTAGAGGACAGGGTCTCATGCTTTGCACTCCCTAGCCTTGTTTTTGGTAAATCCCCTGGAATAATATTGTGCTGCTGGCAAGTCCTGTTTGCTTTGTCTGGTTACAGAGCCACAACTGCCCTCCTGCTCTGAGAAGCACAGTCCTGTAAGTGTCCGTGTGGTTTCCAAACAGGCTGAACCCTGTTAGGTTTCCTCTTCTTAGCTAATGTTCCACTCCTCTTAGCTACCAGCTGTCCCACAACCAGGACCATAGGGACACAGTTTCTAGCCCTTTTCTAGAAGCTAATGCTGACAAGACTATGGCAAAGATTACTTGAGATTAATGAGAACAGCTTAATGGCAGCTAATATATACATGAAGAATTTATTTTAATCTTTAGACATAACATATCATTAAAATATTGCAGAAAAGTGAGTTTAGCTTGGATCACATCTCTCTTCTCAGGGATATGATAAATATTTTGGAGTTAAAGGCAACTGGCCAGAAATTTCAGGATTGCTGATCTACTCCCTTCCCACTCTTCGCCCCTCTTCCTCCTTCTTGTCTCCCTTCCTTCATTCTTTCATTCATTCCTTTGTTTCTTTTTGTCTTCTTATGTGTGTTAAATAGAGCACTTGCAGAATCCCTGAAAGGAATTCATTGCTAACCTAACCATGTGTATCATGAGTAATTGTAATTCCCTTGAGCATACCACTTCACTGTCCTTTTAAATGACTACTTAACTGTGTACATAACTATGCCATAATTTATTTAGCTAATCTTCTAATATGGAAAATTCTGATTCTTTCCAACTTCTGTTGCTATTACAAGTCATGCTGGTCAAGGGCTTTGTTAAGTTCTATGCAACTGCTCCTCAGTTTTTTCCTGCTTGTTCACCTTCCTGTTTATCTCCTCAGATAATTCTAGGAGGTGTGCCTTCTCTTCATAAGAGTATATTGCCCAGTGCAGTCTTTAAATACATTTACTAACTTGGCTATAGTATGGTTAGCACTGTGCTTCAAAAGTTAGATTCCAAGAACAACTGACCAGTGTTTGAGTACCAGCTCTGCGGCTTGTTTCTTTTGTGACCTTGGCAAGATAAAATTTAAGTTGTCTGTATTTCAGCTTCTTCATCTATGACTTGGGATAATAACAATAGAATCTTATAAGATTGTTAAAGGAATTAAGGAAATAGGGTATACAAATTGTGTAGGAGTCCATCTGGAAACCTAGCTAGTTAGTGATGAGAAGCTTGCTCTGTCTTAATTCATGTTGTTTCCACAGAAAATGGTCATAGCTAGAACGTAGGTGTATATTTTGTTTTTGTTTTGTCTTTATTTTTGTCCAGGAATATAGGGAGCAGAGAGGGGAGTACAGTGGTCTCAAGAGTGAAGCACATATTAGGTAATGTGGTCAATCCCAAATGTGTGGCCAGGTATCAGGATCTATGACCAAACTAGGTCCCAGGCTGGCCAGGATTCCTCACTAGCAGTCACTCTCTTGGAGACAGAAAGTCACCAGACATCTAATACTTACCCGCCCTCAGCCTGTCTGTGAGATCCACCACATGGCTGAGAAGAACTGAATGCTGTGCATTTATATCCACTTTGCCAAAGGGTTCCTTTCTCTTCTTTCTTTTCTCCAATGAAAGCAGAGAAAAAGTCTCCTGTTGACTTGGGCTTTCTCTAAAGATCAGCCTCATAGTGCTCACTTGGCTCCTCTTGAGCCTTTTCTGGAAACACCCTCTGCTCCTCAGAGGGGTTCTGGCAGCAGGGCAGCCCTGGGCAGGAGCGGGGACTAGGTATGAACTTGGGAACTATTTTGAGAGACAAGAAAATGCAGAGAATCTGAGGTCATTCATCCACTCTTAACTACTAGAAAACTTAGTACATTGGAAATATCTGAATTAAGCATTTTTTCTGCATTTTAATTATTACTCCAAGTCCTTGCTTGATAAGAAAAAAAGTTCAACAGTAAATCAAATGTGTGAAGGAAAGACCAGGCATTTTTCTTATCTAGAGAATCTCAGTGGTTTCAAGTGCTGAGAACAAAGCTGCACATAGCAAAGTCCATTCTCAGATATGAGTCTAATCTAGTCCTAGAACAAATAAAGCAATCCACTTCTTATACTTAGGAGCAGGCAATTCTGACCCATTTCTTTGGCTCCTGTCCCTGGCCATCATTCTGTATTGCAGAATTTCTGCTAAGTATTCAAGAACAATGGAAGTAAATAACATTACTGTTTTTAAAGCCTCATGAAGATGGGGATTGCTGATCCAGGCATCCTCATAGGTTACCCCCAGGTCTCTCATGAGAGGGGCAGAACATCACAGTATGGACTGTAATAGATCCATTAAAGAATGAACCGCTCTGCTCTGTATGTACTGTTATGAAAGATGATCAGTAGTAAACACTTTAGAAAAATAATAACGCAACTTTATTCAGAGTGTGATCTCATTTTTGTAAAAGCGAACATCATCTACAGATATTACCTGTAGGTATCTACTTTACTGAAAACTAGATGAATGCATTTCCTCTGTGAACTGTGGAGTCCTTGAAGCAGTGAGATTAAATAGAGTGGGAATGCAACAGGGGGCCAGGGAGAAGAGCCTTTGCTTTTTAATTCATTCACATCGGTGTTGTTTGGAGTCTTGGTCATGAATACATATTTTAATAATATTTCATACAAAAAATTTTTAATCTTTGTATCAAAAAGGAATCTCTCCAAGTGTCTGATGGTTTGAAGCTTTATTCCACACAAAAAAATGTCAATAAGCAAATAGTACAAATGACAAGTAACCCTCTACCCAAAGAAACTCTCAAAATTATAAAGTGTCTCACACTTACAAATGTCAGCTGTCACGTATTATGGATTACAGGAAGAGATAAAAGTGAAATCCAAGGCTGCTCTGGGTTAGAAATCATTATATGTTGTTTGTGGGGTGACAGCAACAGTGGAAGGGAAGTAAAGACAGTTTTTAAAGAGGCTAAAAGTATGGAAATATTTTCATCATAATGCTAGAGAGATACACTGTGGCTGTATTAGGAAACCCAGCATCCAGTGCCACCCTTAGCCTTTCTTATTAAGAGTTTCAGTCCACACAGAGGGGCTGATTTCCATGAAAATGAACCCATTTGCTAATGAACAAGTTTGTATTGAGAAGCTGATGTGGCCAAGGGACAAAGATGAATTAGAGCCAGGCCTGGCCTCATAATGCTTACACAGTCCTGGGAGGTGTCATCAGGGTCAAGGTGCTCACACAGACTGTCAGATACAATGCTGACCCCGGACGGACATTACAGACCAAACCAGGACTTTGGCACACAATGGTTGGATGGTCCCTCCAAAGGGAGGTGTTTGGTGTTCTGTTTTGTTTTGTTTTAGAATAGGAAAAACATGAAAATCATTGTAAGCAAATTGAAGAGAGAAAGTATCAGTGCAGAAAGGGGATGAAGAGGCAACTGAGAGAGGAGGGAGGTGATTAATGGGGGAACAAGCATCCCGTCCAGGGTCCAGGAAGAAGGAAGAGCGCCTGAGGGTGGGACAGCTGCCCGGAAGGAAAGGGAAGGCAGGAAGCTGCTTGTGCCCACTCTGCTTTCTCAGTCTGGAAAAACACTGCTTCACTGAGGGAGACTGGCCGGGGGGGGGGGGGCACGCGGCCTGGGGTCATGGAAGGATGGAAGAGCCGCCATGAAGACGTTCAAGTCACCCTGGAAAGCGGAACAGGATTGTTGGAGATGAGCAAAGCATCACTGAGGCAGGAGCAGAGGCTGTGTGGCATGAATTCTTAATAAAACTAACAAAGAATTATGTTTCTTCATTTTCTCCAGCAGTGTGACAGCCAGGCACAAGGCAAAGAAATTGGGCTTGTCTAGAATGGGTGGATGTAGAATGGGTGTAGAAATCAAATGATTCTTAAAATGAACACTCCCTATGAAAAATCATTGGAAATTAGTCAAATGATTACACCACTGTATATTTCACCTTGTAAATATATTTTCCTCTTCATTTTTAGAGTCAAATCAGCTAACAGTATTTCTGTGAAGAAGTAGAAACTATGCCCTGTACTTCAAGTGTCAAACAACCAAGAAATACCATTAGGATTTCTGAAGTTTCTAGCTCATAGTTGCTTCTCATTCATTTTGTATTTTTAGGCTGGAAAAACTAATGACATCCTTTTTGGAAGACCAGGATCCAGAGAGTAGACTAGAGGTTGGCGCTGATATGCGTAAAATTCATCACTGTTTTCATCATTTAAAGGTAAATTTAAATGTTTCCTCCCATAGAAGTCATTTCCTGCCATGCTCAAACTGCAATAAAAAACCTTTCTGGTTGACCAACCCTTGGAAAGTTCAGATCCAGCTTCACATGTCCAGAAAATGGTGCAAGCTTGGAACCAATGATGTGATTATCATTTTCTTCTGAGAGTGCATCTTACTTGTCAATAAATAAGCTCAGACCTGGCTTTTAATTCTTTGCCAGGAATCTTTACCTTCCACACAGAATAGTTCCATGATCAAAAAAACCCTATTTTTTTAAGCAAGGACAGGAGAAGTGTGACCTACATTTTTAAAGCAATTTTGATTTATTCTTACAATTTGCCAGTTTTTCTCTGCCTTAGTTTTTACCTTTCATGGTGAGGGAATGGGAATGTCATCAACTCCTACTTCTCCTTTACTTACATTTTTGCATACTCACTAAGATAATGAACATTTGCTCCGAGTCTGCTGTAGCCCAGGCATAGGGGAGGAGAGTTAAATAAGTGAGTCTTGGAAAAGATAGGTATGAAAAGAATAATTCCAATATATGATACGTACCACAATAACAGCATGAGTTATGTGCTGTGGTGTTACAGAGAAAGGGAAGAGAGTCCAAAGGAGATGGTGGTGGAGTAGAAATTTCCCAACTTAGGGAAAGAGAGATAAAGAGAGGGCAGGAGCAGTGAGGAAGGCGGGGAGGGGAAGCATTTCAGACAGTAAAAGCAGCTGCATGAAAGACAAGAAGGCCGGGAAGGGCATGCTTGACTGATGTGTGCACGGAACTGGCAAAGGGAAAAGAGAAACAAAGAAATCAGGTACAGAGATGTAGATGCTAAGCTTCTATTTCAATTCACAGAGACTTGTGAATGACAAGAAGACCCTTGGGAAGAGTACAGGCCCCTCTGAAACCAAAAACCAAGACTGCCAGGAACCCTTGAGAGAGGAAGAATACAGAAAGCTCCAGGACATACTGAAGCAGAGAGACAATGAAATCAGTATCCTTTCTGGAGCAATGGGAAGTTGTCCCCTTCCTGCCTGGAGAAAGGGGACAGATAGGTGTCTTCGTCCTGCCACATCACCCCGTGCCCCACCCTGCTTCCCATTCCCACTGCTGCTTTCTATTGAGAATAAAACATCCTTTCTGCAAACCAAGCGCAGCGCCTAGTGAAAAGGAGGAGCTATAAAAACAAGGCTTCCCTTTCCTTTTAGCCTGATATAGTTACTCTTACAGAGAACATCCCGGCTCATGGAAAAGTATGAGCTTTGTTACACCATCTCTTAACAGTACATTTTTTAAAAATGTATTTTTGACTACTCTGGGGTACTCTTTCTGTTCCAGTCCCGAGCCAGAAAGTGCTCTGGTTATCTTTAGCTAGCTGACCGGACACTGGGCTGACCGCAGCCTCCCGCAGCCCAGAATTTGTGGCTGGTGTGTGGGTGAAACTTAAATGGCAGCTGAAAAATGGCAAATGGTATTTAGCTTATGAGGAACAGAGATTGATTTAAATGTAACTTTTTTTATTATTATTTAAAAGCCAGATCTATGGCTCTGGGTTCCCCTTACAAATGTTCCCAAATTTGGAAGTGAGTAAAGATGACTGCTCAAGACAGAACCCTTCTTGGCTCCAAGAGGCGGTGTATTTTGGGTGCTGAAAGTGGTCGCAGCCCACGAGCGTGCTCGGCTCCAGTTGCAGATGAGGTGGTTACTTCTAAAGAGCCCCCGCTGGGGTGGTTAGACCTCAGGACTCCCTGATATTTCTTCAGCACTGTTTCTCATTTTACCTTTCGAGCTCCTTGTAAGACTTGACATTTTCATGACATTTGCAGCATTGAAACACACATGAGAAATCATTTTGGCTGGCTCTTTATAAACATATTTTTGCTCACTTTTTAAAATTATGAAAAGACTTTACCGTCAGCTATTGTGCAAAAGGCATAAAAATAGTCTATATAAAGGAAATCCCATAATAAAGAGGTAGAAACAAACCAAACACAAAGTAGGCTCACTGCCTGATTAACTTCAGTCTCTAATTTTAGTTGAGTTTCAGCAGAGCCTGTATGTCAGGTTCAAGTAAGCCTTGGCTGCTTTGGTGTGCAGCCAGGAGGTCCAGCCCTGCCTGCCTCCCCCATGAGCCCTTGTCTCCAAGTGAGCGCTGCCCACAGTGTCGTCCCTCGCATTCCTTCTCCTCTCTCCTACCCCATCCATCTCCAGGAATGGCCTCAGCAGGGACCTCAGTCTGAGCTCCGCTTCTTTCTTGGCCTTGGTCCTAGTCGGGGATCTTCTCCCCTAAATACCACTATCAGCTTCTTAATTCTCTTCATGGCTTATGACTGTCTGTGCATGCAGGAGGAACAGAATGAGACATGACTGAGAGGGGACAGTCCAGGCTTGTTCGTATATGTTTATTTAAAAATGAGGGTGAAAGAAAGACATACATCATCTCCCTCCTTCGCTGTGGTGAACCCAGTACCACTGTTTATGTGGAACTACCCTCGATTCTTCACTGACTGAAAAATTCAATCAGGGCTCCTTCCGTCTGAGACTCAGATTCAAAAAGATGGTGTGTAAGGAGTCAGAGTAGAGAGAGTACTGAGCTGGATTCCATCCTGGACTGAATTCAGGCTCTCCCTGAGTTAGCTCTGTGACCACTCAGGTTTCCTGCCCTTCAGGAGCATCAGACCTGTCCTACCAACCTCCCTGTGCTGAGCAGAGGCAGGGAGTGGGCACTGTAGATCATTTTCTAATGCCAGCCCTGCTGAAGTAGACAATAGGTGAAAAGAGAAAAAAGAGCAGCTAAGATATAATCATCTCAGAGGCTGCACTTATCAAAGACTAATGACCAAGGAAGGTTCCTGAAATGTCAGTCAGAGTGGAGAATATTTTCTTTCTTTTGTTACAGAATCTAGAAGGCTATGACTATGACAAAAAAATGAGAAAAATTATTTCGGGGCGGGAGGTGTGATCATACTTGTGTCTTAGTCACTTTCCTCATTGCTGGGACAAAATACCTGACACCCACAATTTAAAGGAGGAGAGGTTTATTTGGGTTCACAGTTTCAGAAATTTTAGTCCATGATTGGTGGGCTGAATGCAGAAACAACATGGTGGAAAGGCCTGCTGTGGAGGAAAACTGCTCAAGTCACAGCAGCCAGGAAGAGAGTGAAGGACAGAGTTAGGGAGGGAGATACACCCTTCCTTCCGGGTCACCCACGTCAGGGACCCGCCTCCCCCAGCCAGGCCCCACCTCCAATCAGTAAGGCCAGCTGTGAGCTCATCAGTGGACCAATTAGTATAGCACCCCGGTGACCCAGCCACTCTCCCGGCACAGGAGGCTTTTGGAGGACCCCCCCAGATCCAAACCATAACAACTTGACCTCAGCAAAAGACACAATCAAAATGAACATGAACATTATTGAATGTTCTGGGAAGGGGAGTGAAAGTGGTATCATCTCAGTGACTTCATTGTCGGTCTGAGTAAAGCTCAGCTGCACCTTCAGAAAACCTACAGCAAGGTATATTTCAGTAGCCAGCACAGTATGTGACACAAAGACCTCAGTTAGGTGACAATGGGGAGTGGGGGAAGAGAGAGCAGAGGTCAGAAACAAAGGCAACAAAGGAGACAGATGTGAGCTGTGATCTCTGTGAGCTGTAAATCAGAGAATATCATTTCTCTGATTGAAAGCTTGGAGGGGCTTCCCTTCATACTTAGGGTAAAACCCAAACTCCTTCCTCCAGTGTATGAGGCCCCGTGTGACTTTGCTGTGCCCATTCTGACTTACTTTCTTATGCCACATCCCCATGTGTGTTTTGCTTCAATCACGGTGAGCCTCTTGACCCCCTAATATGGGGTCATTACTGCATTTGAGGCTGGGGAATTCTTTCTCGTGGGATCTTTCCTGTGCATTGTAAGATGTAGGGTTGTAGGACTGTAGCATTGGGAACCACTGCCGAGTCCATTTCTCTTTAGGGATTTAGCAGTTTCCTTGATGGCTTTCCTTTGTTGGTTCGTCTTGTCACTCAGAGCTCAGCCTTAACCATCACTCCTAGAAAGGTCTTTGTGATGCGCAATGTACAGCAGCCACCTTGGTTTTTTAAAGTCACTCTTGGCTTTTTAAAAAGTAGCTGCCTGGCACTCTCTCATGGTCTGTGTATGTGTGTACATTCACGCATTTGTGCACAGGTGACATCTGTGTTTCCCTCAGCAGGAAATCTGCTGCGTGAGAACAAGAAAATAGTCTACTCTTAATTGTTCTCCATCCATGCCTAGAATAATATACCCATCTCTAGAAAACCCCACTGAGTGAGGACAGGATGGATCTTGCTATTGCAGTGTCTGGATTACCGGAAGTGTCTGGTGATGTCTGAATCGGTGAGTGCAAAGAGGAATGGATGTGCTGGGCAGAGCCACGTTCTTCTGTTCACTAAGGCGTAAACACTAAGATGCTGGAACACTTCTGTCATGTACACTTGTTTTTTGAGGCAATGTGTGGAAGCCACATCAAGGCTTGTGAAAAAAAAAAACTAAGCTTTCAGAAATCATGAACAAGTTGAAGTTAAAGCTGAGGAGGAAAATGGAGGTCACATTATTTCCATGCTACTTGCCGAAGAGCAAGTGCAGTCCTGGTACCTCCCTCCCCTCATTTCTGAGTAGCAGCCTGCTCTACCACACCACCCCATTTCCTGGGACTCCCATCTTCACAAAGCCAGTTCCGGGGATGGTGAATACCTCAGAGTTCTGAGCTTCTCAAAAGGGACTGATGATAGTCTTTCCTCCTGTGGACGGTGCCTAGCCTCCCAGAGCTCCAGATTTCTCAGACCCAGAATGAAGATTGCAGTGGGACTAATAGCTTCCTAAATTGCCCACAGCTGTCTTCAGCGCTCCAGGCATAGCTAAGTGGCCCACAAAAGGTGCATTTTACAATAGTATATCTGTGCTAATAATTCACTTCAAATTCGTCAGAGACCAAAAATTAATACTTAAGCAAACAAGGTCACTGGATGGTGGAATTTTCCCAGGTAAAAGAGGGATTCACTCACAGAGAAAGACATTGCTCCAGTGCCTACCAGTACATAATATTTGTTTTACTTTTTATTAACTCTTTTGTAACTATTTCAAGACAACTTGTCTACACTCAGAACATTTTAAAGACCTCTGCATTTGCTATTTATTCATATAACGGTGCCATGGTGAAAGACTAATAGCCTCCTAATTGTGCATAACTGTATAGAGGCCCCTGGGAAGTTAAAAATCCTCCTTTAGTCAGCCTTTACCACATATGAAGTAGCAAATATTGTGAGAATAGCACTTGCATTGAGATCATTTGTGTTTTCATCATTGTAATATAGGAGTACAACATCCTTAAGTCCAATTTTAGATATTCTAGTCAACATGTTAAAAAAGGAAAAGAAGAAAACTCAAGATGCCGGCCTCTTATCTAGCATGGATAGAAGTGAAATCAGATCCTCGCAGGGCTCGCCCTTCCCCTCTGGGAACCCACAGGAAGGACAGAGGACGTCGTCGTCTTTGGTTCCAGCACAGGCCCAGGACTTCGGCGCTTCCCGGTACAGATCCAGCTTGCTGCACAAGAAAACAGGTCAGTTTCTAAATTCCAAGGTGTTTTCATTGTCTGTCATAGATTTCAGCGGGCGCCCTATAGTTCTAAATGTGCGAAGATGAAGGCACTAACGATGTATTTGTTTGAATTATTTTAAATTAAATACCAGTTTCTCAAATGAATGACTGAACTGGATAGGGCCAAGTATGAATTTTTACAGCATTCACAGGTGGAGCTTGATGGGTCCAGAAAAAAAGTAGAAATTTTTACTCCAGAAAAAGCAATGAAAAACTTTCCTCCGTCAGGAGGGAAACAGTAAAGTCAAATGTGGGATTACTGACTTGATGCTATGTTTATCTCTAACTCCAAAAGTGTTACCCACAGTAAAAGAATTGAAAAATATTGTCACAACCTGAAAAGGCGGTAAGTGAACAAGACTCTGCCAGATGGTAGGGTTTGACAGTCAGGCCCACTCAGCACCACTCTTCGGAACCCGCCGGGAGCCGGGCTGCTTGTGTGTCTTGCTCCCGGTCAGACCCGCGTGACGTGATGTGCAGGCCTGTGGCTGCGGCCTTGCCCTCGACACTGGGGAATCAGAGGCAAGGGCTGTGCTGGAACACAGGGGCGAAGAGCTCCCCCATGTCGGCCACATACCTTCGCATTTCCCATGTAAATATTTGTTGGGAGGACTACGTGACCTGCCTGGCTTCCCAAAGGAATATTTAAAGAGCACGGTACTCATTAAGAAACACACTTTTTAGTTAACAAAGACAACATGAGAAGCGAGGAGATATATTTTGTGACATATATCCCTGTACCTTCACCAACACAGGAGAATACATTTTAAAACCCCCGGAAAAAGACAGTGCTGCAGCAGACAGTAAAAATCACTGCTTCCTCCTTGTGAGTAGAGCTTTGCTCTGGATAGCAGCTGGTTGGGGAACAAAAGGAGGGCTATCTGGGTCGGTGACTTCTTCAGTTTAGCCATCCATTTATTCACTCCCCTTTCACCTAATATATATTTTCTGAGCACATGATTTATTTTATTTTAGGCACGATGCTAATTATTGTTATGGCAGCAGAGCTCACATAGCTGTTATATACACCAGGTACTATGCTAAGTTCTCTGCTTGAATTAACTCACTTAAATCTTATCCTTTGAGATAAGTTTGGTTTTATCTTTATATTGAAGATGATGACATACATAGACAAACATAATCTCTGCTCTCAGAGTACTTAGAGACGTACAGAGAAAAAGAGTCACTGAACAGCTGATCGCAAAATCATTCCTCTTTATTACTGAGGGAGCATGTACCAGGAGCCCCACCTCTAATTAAGACCAGAAAGATCCACAGTGGGGAGTGAGGGGACAGCTGTGAGCAGAAGGAATATTGTCCGTACAGGGAATCAAGTCCTTTCAGAGCTCACAAGGCTTCTGTGGTGGAAAGGAGCATTCCAGGAAGTGAAAAGGCCAGGCATGGCTGGCATCTGGAAAGACAGGTTGGTTGATGTGAAGCCCAGCTAGCAGGCCAGGGTAGGAGTCCAGGTAAAGGATGGGGATGATGCGGAAGTTGAGGGGACAGGGCTTGGTGACTCACTGGGCATGGGGATAAGGCAGGGTGAGGATGGTGAGGCTCTTCACAGAGGTAAGGAACAGCGAATGGCTCCCGGGGCCCTGCAACACCTGGCGCTGTTGGGCTTTGAGAACGCCACTGTTGGGTCTCGGAGAACAGCACCCCACAGTACTGCGCTCTGGCGTGCCGAGTACACTGGACGCAAAGATGTTGGAAGGGCGGCAGAAGCAAACTCTCTCTAACCTTCTCCTGCTCTTCTTTCTCCTAGTCCCCTTTCTTCCACAAGTCAGGCCATAGAAATTAGAACCGTCTCTCCCAAAGCCGGCCATATTACCTAGAAATTACTCTACCCAGCCCCCGCCTTCTGAGGCAGGCTCATAAAGAAATTGTCAGACCCCCCCTTGTCTGATCATGGTCACAAGCTCCTCATTCCAGGAGTCCTTCCCCACCCCCGGGAGGAAGGATGGCCACACAGAGATGCAGGAGGAATCTGAACAGAGTGGCCTTGCTGGGCTCCCCCACTCCAGCCTCTTATATCAAAGCCACCTCTTTGCCCAGTCTGATTTCTACATGGCTGTCATCCACCCTGAGCAGAAAAATACAGCTGTCCCTGGGTCCTTGGGTCTTCATTCTGAAAGTTTTCATGTCGCATAAAACTTTGATTAAACAAAACCGCTGGGCTTTTCTCTTGTGAGTCTGCCTTTGTTCCAAGGTATCAGTCATGATGCTATGATAGGTGAGGAAAGGTATCGAGCCCTTCTGCCCCTGCACTGCTGAAATCAGGGTCGCAGTCAGTCCCCGAGTGAGATCCCCGGGGCAAGTGATGGAAGGAAGGAGCTGTTTCCTGGCCCTCACCAAGGACACGGATTTTTGTGCCTGTGCAGAAGTGGCCTCCAGGCCAGGGTCACTGCCCATCTTGCCCCGTGCCACATCTTTTCTTTTTCTATTCCTTCTGGCTCACACACTCTCCCTTCTCATAATTCTTCCCCACAGCATCTCATCATCTCTCTCTTCCCTTATAATTGTAGTCAACTTTTTCAGTAACTCTTTTCCTCCCTTGATATTGCTATCGAGATAGACAATAGTTTTGTTTGGAGAACGAATGAAGTTTACTTGAAGAGAAAATTGCTGAAAAAATAATGGAAATTGTTTGTAAAGTCCAAGTACAAATGAGGTAAAAGTTTTGGAGAAGAGCCTTCTATTTGAAAAGATTTTTGAGTTGTTTTAACTGTCATTGGATATAGTTCTAGCAATAGAGTAAAAGTAGGCTCACAAATGGACTGATAATGATCTAAACATTTGGGGATGAGATTGAAGGGAATCGACTTTATTTTTTGGCAAAAACTACAAATAGGATGAAAATTGATGCAGATAATTACTGTGGCTGCGAAGCAACAGGTAATGGGATAGTTGATTACAATGTTTAAGATTCCGGGAGCTGATTAGACTTTTATTATTGCAATCTTTTATATAGGAGAAGCTTATGTAAACTAAAGCAAGCACCAAAAAATTAATAAGCATGTTGTTTTGAAAGTTTTTCTGTATCATGTAGGTATTGCCCAGTTTCCATTAACTATTCCTGGGGCTGTTTCTAATGAAGAAAGCAAGTAAATCCAACCATCTCTGAAACTGTTGTGATGCTGTCTCCCCTTCCTTCCCCAACTCTGCCCTTTCCAATTCACCTCCACTTTATGCTGAGAATGAGTCCCTTTGAATTAGAAAATGAAGCCGAGTTTATGGTTCACTAGAGAGCCCTGCAGAGTCGGCATGTAAGCAGCCTGGCAAGGCCAGGAAGGTCAGGGGCTTGGGGGTTTTCATTGTTGTTTTGGAGGTTAAATGTCTGTTTTGGTTTCTTTGAAATAAGAAGGGATTGTTCAGCTCCACAGTTGGAAAAGAGTCATATTGTTCTCTTTAAAATAAAGAGAAGTTTTAAGGTTGAGTGGTTTGGGGTTTCTCTTGTTTTCTTTTTTCCCTTTTAGCTCTCTGGCTGCACATTCCAAATAGTCACCTGGAACCAGTCAGTATTCCAAAGTCCCCTGAATCACCACATCCTTTAACTATTTGAGGTGCTAACAGAACCTGCTCATCACAGGTGCTATCACTGGCACTTTAAAGGTGGAAGGAAGTACCTCAGTGGCAGGGCACTTCCTAGCATGCAAAAGGCCATGGGTTCCACCCCCTGCACTATAAAAAGAAAAAACAAATTAATTAAGAACCAAAACATATCCCAGAAGCATCAGACCCTTTTCTCTGGCTCCAGGAGAATTTGTTGAATCCTTGCTTTGTGCATTAGAAAGGTCCAAGGTACATGTTGCAAGCTGGTACTAACATGAACTGAAGAATGGTCTCTGACTCCTTCCATTTCAATAATGGAGACTGGCTTTGTACCCAAAGAGCAGAGGATGAAATAACAAGTGCTTTATGCAGAAGCTGTGAACAAATGTGAAAATCAAAGGGGTCGGCAGATGGAGAGGAGTACTACAGAGCAGGTGACATGGAAATGAGGTCTCAGAGGATTGATAGAATGTGGAGATTCAAAGGCATAGGGAAAAACATTCCAGTCTTTAGAAACTAATGTACTTGTATGTCTTCTTTCAAGAAATGTCTGTGTACATCATTTTTAATCAGATCATTTGCTTTCTTTCTATATAGTTGTTTGAGTTGTTTATATATTTTGGATATTAATCCCATATCAGGAATATTGCTTGCAAATATTTTCTCCCAATCCATAGATTGTTTCTTCACTCTAATGTCTCCTGTGCTGTGCAACTGCTTTTTATTTTGGTGTAATCTCATTTGTCTATTTTAAGTTTTGTTATCTCCACTTTTGGGGTCAAATTTTTAAAAAAATTATTGCCCAGATTAATGTCAGGTGGTTTTTCCCTATGTTTTCTTCTAGTAGTTTTATAGTTTCAGGTCTTATATTTAAGTCTTTAATCCATTTTGAATTGATTATTATAAGGTAAGATAAGGTGCAAGGTAAGGATCCAGTTTCCGTATATATTTAGATATATAAGTCCCTGATTTACGAATAAGTTCCATTCTGGGAGAGTTGTTCCTAAGTCAGATTCATTCTTAAGCCAACAAAGTGAGTCTTACACAGTACACCTGTGAAAGTTCACAACTCAAATGTCTGTAAGTCAGGGACTCACTATATATATAATATATATGTTTCCCAACACAAGTTATTGAAGAGACTATCCTTTCCCATTCTATGTTCTTGACATCTTTGTCAAAACTCGATTAATTGTGCACATGTGAGTTCACTTCCCTGTTCTGTTTCGTTTGTGGATGACTGTATTTTATGCCAGTACCATGCTGTTTTAATTACTATAGTTTTGTAGTATAGTTTGAAATCAGGTAATGTGTTGCCTCTAGCTTTGTTCTTTGGGGTTCATGATTGCTTTGGCTAGTTGAGGTTTCTTATGATCCCATATGAATTTAAAAATTTTTTTCTATTTCTTT